TGATAGAAGGGAAACAGCCCACCAACCAAACACACAAACCCCCAAAACTGGTACAACTTGGTGGGGAAATTTCTAACCGTTTCTATAAAATAAAAACCATACTTATTCTGCAATGAGATACTTCTATTTGTAGGATTGTCATATATCCACACACACAAAAATAACTTGCAAAACAATGTTTATCACAGTTTTATTTGTGGTTGCAAAAAGCTGGAAAGATTCCAGTTGTTCATCCATGGGAGAGAGAGTAAATAAATCCGCACCTATTCATACAATGGAATACTTCTCAGTAATGAACAGGAACAAAGTGACAATTCATACAACAACATGGCTCATTTCAAAGTTATTATGGTGAATGAAAAGAAATATTATTAAAAAGAATAAATATTAAATTATTTTAATTATTATTATTTTTTAAATTTTTTATTGTTGGTTGTTCAAAACATTACATAGTTCTTGATATATCATATTTCACACTTTGATTCAAGTGGGTTATGAACTCCCATTTTTACCCCATATACAGATTGCAGCATCACATCAGTTATACATCCATTGATTTACATATTGCCATACTAGTGTCTGTAATAACCAAAAGTAATCTAAGGTGGAAAAATTTAAGAATATGGTTGTATCTGTGTATAACAGGACTGGTTATAGAGATTGCTGGAAGGGGCGAGAAGGAACTCCCTGATGTGTGTTATGTTCTGTTTCTTGATAGGTGTCTGGGATACTCTGTTGTAATGCATCTGTCAAAATCTATCGAATTATGTAATTAAGGTTTGTGTATGTTTTGTACATAATTTTTAACGTGAAGAAATGAAAACAAAAGCAAATATTAGTGTGTGTTTATTTAATTATATGAATGCTGGGGAAGAGCATAGGACATTTTCAGAGTCTTTGCTAGGGCAGTGGTTCTTGGAGCTGTGGGAGTGGAGTGGTTGCTGGGATGTAGAACTGTGAAGCCACCTGTAGTGTGAAATGCCAGCCTGGGAAATCCATAGGCACCAGCCTGTGACTCAACTTCAGAGAGATACCACAAGGGCTGAGCCCAGCAAAGCTGTGAGGGCCAGAGTACCCAAGGAGACCCAACCTCATCCCAGTGTGCCCAGGAGATGGCATGTAGAATGAAATGCTATCCTCTATCTTTAAGACTTAATGTCTGCCTTCTTGGGTTTGGATCTCTTTTGGTGCCAATTACCCCCTTCTTTTGGCCAACTTCACCCCTCTGGACTGGGAGCATCTATCCTGTGCCCATCTCACCATTGCATTTTGGAAGTAGATAACGTGTTTGGATTTCACAGGCTCATAGCAGGACTCCAGAGTGCAAAACTAGTTAAAAATCTTGGGTCTATTAAGATAGAATAAATGCATTTTTTTTCTTTTATGTGAGAAGGACATGAATTCTGGGTTCACGTGCTGGTCCCAGCATGGCAAATGGCGGAGGTGGGGCTTAGCGGGAGATGTTTGGATTGTGGGAACTCCACCCTCACGAATGGGTTCACGCCACCTTTCCAGAGTGAACTCTTTCTGGACTGGATTAGTGGTTGTGATAGCAGGTTGACATGGACTGAGTCCCCCCGCCCTGGTGTTTCTGTCCCTTTTGTATTTGCCCACTTGTCTTTCTTTTATCATGAATTGAAGCAGCTTGAGATCCTCACCAGATCTTGAACATTCCAGCCTTCAGAACTATGAGCCAAAACAAACTTCACATCTTTAATACTCACTCACTCAGCCTCAGCAATTCTGTTACAGCAACAGAAAATACTCAGACATATTTCCAGTATCAGTGCTGTGGATCTTGACCTTTCCTACAACATGAGACATAGGCCTAAGCCCTTCCCTCCCCAGTCTTTCTGAGATTCTGATGAATCCCCCCAAATCTGTAGAGAAGTAAGCTATATTATAATATAGCCATAGACAAGAATTGTGACAAGTATTAAGCCCTCAGGAATGGGGGCTTTCTGTGGCTTTGGGGATAGGCCACTATGTAGGGCAATTCCTCATAAAAATTTGTAGCCTCATCCTTTGCTCCTTCACCCAACACCTGCTTATCCCTCAGACCTCATGATAAGAAAGGGCTTCTCGAATCTCTACCAAGAACCTGTTGCTCACTGTCCCTGGGGTAGTTTTTGGTCATCCTAACGATCATCTTAATTTAGTATTTTTTTAAAAAAGGTTTTGCTCTCTGATAGATGATTAGCACTGTGAAGGCAGAATCCACAACTGTTGTGTGGACTGTTATCTTCAGCATCTTTCTAATTGCTTGGCACACATGTAGTACATGTCAAATAGAAAACTGTTGGATGAATGAGCCAGAGTGCAGATGCCTGAGTACAGTGTTCTTACAAGGACCACTTTGAAGCTTCTCTAATTTAAGATCCAAAAATGTCAAACCACAGGAAAATGTCAGTACTCTCAATATATTACTAGGCTTTAATTGCTAACAACAATTAATTAACAACAAACCCCAGCATGTTGTGATGCTGCAGTTGAGAATCCTGATTAGACAATAGAGCTGGGGATCCCAGCTCAAGCAGGGCCTGACAGTAACCCTCACAGGATTCCACACTGGTTGGAGAGTTCTGATCTCTGACAACTACCAGGAGAGGAAGCTAAACATTCCCCACCTGGCCACTGTGCCCTCCAACTGAGGCCTTAGTAAATGCCTTATTAAAAGGTTGCAATAAAGTGAGTAGCACATTGCTGTGTTACTTATGAATTTGGAACCCTTTCAAAGCCTTGCTTATTACCTCTTTATTGCCCACCAGGTTAGGGATTCTCAATCCTCATTGCACATTGGAAAAACTTAGGGTGCTTGAAAAAATACTAATGCTTGGGTTCCACCCCCAAAGATTCTGAAGAGATTCCGGGGGTAAAACCTGGGCTTCGGGATTTTTTTTTTTAATGCTCCCCACATATTTCTAATGTGCATGCAAAGGAGAGAATCTTTCCTAGGAGTACAACAATTCTAAGTCTCTCTTGCCATCTGCCCTCCCACCTTCCACTTGGTTCTGCTTTCCTAATTATCTAGCCCTACCTGGTCTTCAGCCCTGTGGGCTGCTTTTGGCACTCCAGAGACCCACAGCAAGTCTGACTTCATTTGCAGGCTCTGCTTTCTCAAAACCCAGTTTTAGCCAATCTGCACCCATAGGCTCAGAGGAGCAGAGAGATGAAGGAATATTTCCACTTTTTAATTTTAGGACTACCAGTTTTTCTTCTATTTTTCTTAGCAACAGGATGTCCTCGTCAACCTTCAATTTGGAGACATTTACATACCCCAACTTAAATCACATTTCTAGGACTAAGCATTGGCTTAATTAAAACATATACAACCTGAGCCTGAAAGAAGAATATTCAGGACAGGAAGTAAGTATAGGTTACAAAGCTCCAGCTAAACTCTTTAGATTTTCTCTGTCCTTGGGGAAGCTTACTAATTTTTCTGCCTTTCTGACCTTAGCCGTGTGAGTTCTTAGTTGAATACTTGTACCTGAGAATGCAACAGATCTAGGAACAAGGGATTTCAAAAGACTTAACCAAGGCTTGGAGACCCCAAAAGAGAAATTGCATGAATTGCTATGCAACTGCTTTATGAAGTACATTTACTTTTTATGTTTCTGGGACATGTGCAGACTGCAAGACTTTGGGAAAAAATGGCAGCTCAAAAGTTTCTTTCTTTTCTTTTTTGTTTACCTTGAACTCAGTGTGTGTCCAATTCTCTTCTCCTCAGCCTTCTGTTATTTCTTGTGCTATTGGTCAAGCATGTAGTTTGGAGAAAGGAATCTCCATGTCTAGCCTTCTTGCCTCATCATCTTGGTCACTTCCAATCTCTAATAGCTATAAAGCCATACGCAGTAGGCATGTGTCCTCCCCTGCAGGAGGGAAGAAAACCAAAAAGCTTCAGCTGAAACAATTGTCCACTATGGCCAGTGTCAGGGATCACACAGAATCATCATCAGGACCTGTTCCTGGGTGGCCTCCCAGTGCCAGAGTGGGCCAATGTGGATTTTTTTCCCAAAACCACAGGCCTAGATAATGAACAATAAGTAGGGGCATACTGGCCATTGTATCTATGGGATCTATGGGCCATTCCAGATATCAGCTCAGGAACATCTGGGAGCTGACTCAGTTTCCACAAGTTTTCTGCCTTTGGTTCACAGATGATCCTCATATTTTCCTCCAAAGCAGTGGATAATTGGGACCTAGCACTTCAGGTTTGAAGGGAGATGAACTTGATCTACAGATAATAGATTTTTTTTTAAGTGCTAAGGAAAAGGAGTACAAAGATTCATATTTGAAACATTATTGTAACACATTGTGATCACTGTGAAGGAACAAGATTTTGTGGTTTGGTTTTGATTCCTTCCTATATTCTTCACCCTTCACTTCTAGCCTTTTAGTTTTTCTTCTTTTCTTTATTTAAAACTGGTGTTGTGAAAACTGGATATCTAGTCTCTTTTCTAGATGAAGGTCACCTTTCCTTGGTTACTGGCTCTCTTCGTTTCCACTAGGAAAACTTTTGCACAAAATCAGTCTCCTGTCAGCCATGAATAGAGGCAGTTACCCACTAGGAACATTTATTTTTGAAGTCTTGACCTTCCTAGAATGAAAATCTTTACCCTGAGAGAGGCATTTCAGCTTTAGCTAACAGTCTGATGGAGAGATTTGGAAGAGAGATGCTCCAGGTTTCATGAATTCCCCACAGTGTCCTGCTTCATGCATTTTTTTATGGGAGTCTTGGCTACAGTATTTATGACCTTCAACAAAGGCATTGTTTTCCTACAATGCTAAAGGGAAAAAGTTTGTAAGCTTTGGAATAAAAATTGTAAGCAAAACTTTCAAACTTATTTCTTATCTATGTGTTTTGAAGGTTACTGCAGTCTATTGGATTGCCATTCTTCCTCACTGCAGACTCAAAGTCCAAAGGTTTTCTTGTTCACTCCATGTAAACAAGATAGAAAGTTCTGGAACTCCCAGGTATTTCCTGACTGTCTAAACATCTTTGTTAGTTGAAATGTTGGTACTTTCACATAACACTAACTGTGGTCTAGCTGTCAACATGATTGGGATCCCAAGCTGGCTCTGTACTTTCTTACTATAAAACTATGAATTATTTACTTAACACCCTCAACTCTCTTTTCTCCTCATCCGTTAACTGGAAAGACCAGAGTGCCTGAATCATAAGAGTGTTGGAGAATTAAATGAGGTAAGTTTTTACCTGTTAATGCTAATTTTCTTCTTTCTTTCTCCTTAATCATTATTTTTTAATGTGTAATTTTTTTCTCTACTCTGCATTTAGTCTCCAAATTCTGAGGGAGTTGACCTCCTTTCTATGTCCTCTGACCTTATTACAAAAGCTACCAGATCTCTGTGGTCTTAGACAAGAGAGATTATGAAATGCCCCTTGCCCTTTGTGTTCCTGAAACAGCTTATAGCAACAAACCACCATTCCCTATGTGGCTTAAATCAGACCCACAGTGCTCCTATAAGGAAGCTGGACACAGCCTCCAAATTCCATTTCTATGCCTCTTAAAGAGTTAGCTAAATTGTTTTGTTTCCACCATCAATCAGAGCACCATGCTGAATAAACAAACTCTAATTACCATTATGTTTTTCTGCAGAATAAGTTTAGGCTCTCCTGGAGCCTGAGCCAGCACACAACCCAGGAAACCGCCCTTCACTGGGACAGGCCTCGGAACCACAGGGTGAAACACTCTCTCTATGGTCAGGCCATGTCCTTCTAGTCGCCTCCCATGTTTCAGCACCAGGCTCTTCTAGCCTTGCTTACTTCTCTCTCTGAAAGAATGGCATTAATTTTGTCTAACTTCTGGGTGTTTGCAGATCTCATGGTAGGAGTTCTCCCTAAGCAACAGTCCCTCTCTCCTTCCTGCAAAGGTCACTTTCTCTGCTCTTGTAGGAATCCTTTTGAATAAAGTGTCATCTGTCCAAAGTTCCAAGTTATTTCTCAAAATCTTCAAAATGTTTAAAACACAAGTTGTATTAAATTGTGACATGTCCTTGGCTAACAATCTAGTCATAAAAAAATGTACAAAGCATTGATACGTGAGGAACATGTTGGGTCAATCTGCTGTCAGAGGATCCCTGACATGGGCTAATTTATAATTTAGTTGGAGAAAATAGACAAGTAGAATAACACAAAGAGAGTAAAATAACATGGACTCAATAGGTGACAAGGGCAGAGGGTGACTCATCTCTAAATGAGTAGTGTGTAGAATTAATATTCTGAGTTCACAGGAAGCAGAGATCAAGTTTTAAATTGGGGGTTTTGTTTGTTTAGTTTCTTGGGATGAAGAACTCACCTTTCCCTCTGAGTGAAGAGTGGCTAGTTAAGTGTGAATTGTAGGACAAAGGAAAGTCACTTTGGCCAGCTGGATTTTGATCCTTTGATAACAGAACATGCCATTGCCTGCAGAGAGTAAATTTCCCAGGGTTAAAATGTGAATAGACACCTCAGTCCCTGGGACTTTTCCCTTAAAGGAACGAGTTGACAACTTAAAGCTTGAAATATTTCTGGTAGTGAGTATAAAAGACCACAGCTGCTGCAGTTGGATACTACTGTGTAAGTGCTTCTCATAGAAGCCAGGCAAAAGTGGATTGGTTGAGGAGCTTTAGTTACAGAGGTGCTTAGGGAAGGATATGGAGAAGGAAAAGTAGGAAATTCCATCTAAACACTGTGCTGGGTGCTTACTGGATGTCACAACATTTAATTTCCTGAATAGCACCTCAAAGTGAGTGCACATCTCCTCCATTTTAAAGATACAGGGAACTCTTGGCAAAGAGGAGCTTTTCAAGTAGAGTGATGGAATTAGAAACAGTCACTTACTCTCCACACTAGTTAACCTTCCCCTCTCCCTGACCCTGACATTCTGATGGTGAGGGTTCTAAATCATCAGTATAAAATAAAAGTCTATGTTTGGTGTTAGAAAATTGCTTTGAAGATGGAGAAATTCTTTTTGGATCCCAAAGAACAGATACATTCAATGTTACCTCTGGTAATTGCTTACTCTGACAGGTGCAATAGGTTACGCTTGTTACAATGGTTAAGAGATGTATTCCCTGAATAAATGGAATGTAGTGCTCTACTTGAAAGAGGACATTGGAAGAAATATGATTTAGCAGATCATGCCTTTAGGTTGCATTTTCTAATTATAACAGTAAAATGTGCCTACTCTCAATAAATATCTGAAGATGCAAAGACATGTGTTCTATTAACTGCTAATGTAATCCTCAGCACCCAAGTAAGATCATTCTTTATACTTGGCTTTGCACTTTGCTTTTTAATCTCATGGTGTAGATTTTTATATCAAGAAATACAATGGTTGTTTTAATGTCTCTCTGTTATGGCAATATGCAATGTTCCATAATTTATTTGATGGTCCCCTTATCGCTGAGATTTAGTTGTTTCTGATTTTTCATAGATAGAGAAATGAACAAACATCTTTGAGCACTTATATGATTGTTACTTCAAAATATTTTCTTGAGATAGAATTGCTGCTACTATTTTTTTCTCCATCTGTTTCTTCTTCTTTGGTTTTAGTTTTGGTGTTTTGTATTCTGAATTCTTGGGCTAGAATACTTGGCTTTTATTTTCATTCTTTCATGATTGTTACTAAAGTGCTTAAGGCAATGAATTTTCCTCTAACTAGGTTTTTACCTGTATCCTGGAGCTTCTGATATGTAATATCTTTATTTGTATTATTTCCCACAATGTATATGTGTTTGATTTCTTCTTAGACCAAATAATTACTTGTAAATGCTTTCAAGTGTTCATTATTATTTAATTTAATTCTGTTTCTACTTATTTCTTAAATTACATTCTGTGTTCACATTTAATTTAATTTCATGTTTCTACTTATTTCTTTTTGGGTGGGGATACCAGGAATTGAACTCAGGGGTACTCAACTACTGAGCCACATTCCCAGCCCTTTATTGTATTTTATTTAGAGACAGGGTCTTACTGAATTGCTTAGAACCTTGCATTTGTTGAGGCTGGCTTTGAACTTGAGATCCTAGTGTCTTAGCCTCCTGAGCTGCTGGGATTATAGGCATGCCCACCTTCTACTTATTTCTTGAATTACATTTTGAAGACAATATGTATATTTTGAAATGTCTTTATTTACATATTTTTAATGTCCCTGGAATTCTATTCATAAGACAATTGTATACACCAAGGCATACATGAACACAAATACTTTCATGTGTGTATTGTTAGGATACTTTCATCTACTTGACTGTATTCTTCAGAACATTCTTTCTTTTTTATTTTTCTTTTCTTTTCTTTCTTTTTTTTTTTTTTGAGGTGCTAGGGATTGAACCCAGGCCTTGTGCATGTGAGGCAAGCACTCTACCAACTGAGCTATATCCCAGCCCATAGAACATTATTTCTTCCCCTATTGGTTTTTTGTTTACTTCATTTGTCAAAGACTGAAAGAAGTTTATGTTTCCCATTAGTACTCTGTTAGACTCTATAATAGTTTCTCCTTGTATTTCCTTTAGGTTTTGATCATGCTTTTTAATGTTGTATTATTGTCCCAGAAAGATTAATGATGTACATATTTATGTTAGAATATATCAATCTGCAAGCCAATTTCCCATCTTAGCTAATATTTTTTTTCACCTTTGGTTTTGACTTGTTTTATATTATAATCTGATATTGGTTAAGAATTATTTTTGGCTGCAAATAACAGAGGAATGAAAAACAGTTTCAACAGGATAGTTTTTCCTTCTTCCTTCCCCTTCTAGTAGCATAGAGACGAGGTATGGAAAGCTAGAGGATGAAGAGATTCTATTTCATCATCAGTGGACCAGGCTCCTTGCATCTTCTTGCTCTGTCATGCTTGGTGAATTGCTTGCATCCTTAAGGTCACCATATGGAACTGGAAAGTCCCATTCCACTAGGTTAACATTCCAGCCAATGAAAGAAGAAAGTGGGGAAGACAAAAGGGTGCTTAGCTCTTCCTCAGACAGCTTTCCCACAAGCCTCCCTCCATAACCTCTGCTTATATTTTACTGGCCAGAACTTAGTTATATGGTTTCTTCTATTTGCAAGAGAGACTGGAAATACTGTGATACCCCATAAAATCAGGATTCTTTAGGTACATGAGTTAGGAATGGATTGGCAGATAATAGTCTCTGACATTGATGACTTTTTCTTTTCCACCAATATTCTTTGCTTATCTTTTCTCATCCTTATTTTCTAGCTTTCTTAGTCATTGGCTTTAGATCTTCTAAATAGGTTTTGGTTTTTTAATTTGTTTAATTTCAGGATCTCTTTCTTTTAGCAACAAACTGCTTTAACCATTTATATTTATTATTAAATATCCTGTGTTTGGTCTCTATATGTTTTCCAATTCATACATTTTTTTCCATAATTTGCTATGATTTTAAATGTTGTCTTCTTTTTGATGTTAGCTTTATATTGTTTCTTTATGTTATGTTTTAAAGGTTTTCTTTGGTTCTTTTTCTTCTGTAATATGGAAGATATGAATTTTTGTATTACTAATATGTATTTTTATATCTTTAAGTTATTTGATTAAACTTTACACTGTTAACTTATTAACAGTGGAAATAAGACAACTTACCAAATGTAATTCTTAGGCTCAAAATGGGGGGATCATATAATTTACCATTCATACTCTGATACTTTGAGAATGTAATGAGTGCTTTAAGTAATTTACATGCATGTGTTGATCTGTAACAGGGGTAAACCAGGGTTATCCTATCCTAGGACAACTAATGATATCTGGTTATCTTCACCCTAGGGAACCATCTGCAAACTGGGGATAATGACAAAGTGTACTTCTCAGGTTGTTGTGATGCTCAAGGAATCTGATATGCACGTGCAGTACAAGTTGCTGGTGCATTGTTATCTGGCATTTGTTCTTGTTAATGAGAAAATTAAAAAAAAAATTTTCTAAGAGAAAAAATTTAAAAGTATCTAATATTTTTGCATGTTGTTTCTCTACTGTACCCATTTACAGGAACTTGAATGATGTTTTCTTTAGGTTTTTAAAAAGTAGGCAGGAATATAAAGAATAGGATACTTGGAACAATTTTTTGTGCACTTTCTCCTCTTTGTACACATTTTCATAAACTACTTCATCTGATATCAAGTTATGAGAGTATTTTCAAAGAAAGAGCACTATTGATGTTACACATTACTCTGTTAATCCTGGATTAATCAGC